AGAGTAGGACCCCACTGTCCTGAGAGGGGTGAGCTGCTTGTGAAGGAAGTGGAAGAGTGAAGTCAGGAACAGTGGAGGGAATGACTTTTGAAAAAATATGGCTACAGAAGAAAAGAGAGCCTGGTTAACAAGTCAGGTCAAAGAGGCTGCTTCAGTGGGAACTGCTCAGTGAGGGGGAAATAATGCCAGTTGCCTTAACTGCTAGGAAAATTAAACAGGATACAGTTTGTAAAGCAACTGCTTTTTATGGTATCCCCCCACCAATTTTCTCAGCTGGAGAAGCCCCCTTTGTGTTTGAAGAGACATCCTCACTGCTGAGAATTGGTTTAGGAATTACAATAGAAACACCTTATCTGCAGATTCACTTTATGAAGTTTCATTTTTCCCATAGTTGACCATGATCTGAAAACAGTATATGGAAAATTTCAGAAATGAACAACTTGTAAGTTTTAAATTTCATGCCATTCTGAGTAGACTGATGAAACCGTGAGCTGTCCTGCTCAGTCTGGCTCAGGCTGTGTGTTATTCCTTTGTCCACTATATCCATGCAGTATATGCTACCCACCTGTTATAGTTAGTTAGTCAGTCACTTAACAGTGGGCTTGGTTATCAGATTGAATGTTGTGGGCTTGTAGTGTTTGTATGTGGGGTTTGGTGCTCTTTCTCTATGGTTTCAGACAACTGGTGGACGTACCTTGCCAGTCTGGCTGGGCACAAATGCGGCAGTCTGGCTGGGCACACAATCACGAGCCACCACACAGCTTGTAGATTCAAACAGCAACTCTTTATTCCCGAACTCACACCAGCCGTCTACAATCACGTTCTGGGGAAATCCACGTTCTCTGCCCAAATCCACGTTCTCTCCCAAATCCACCTCCACTGGGCTTCTATCTCTCAAAAAATACTCTGAATCCCGTGAGAACTCAAGGGAACTCAGGCAGCAAGATACGCCCTATTCCCAGCAGGAATAATCTTAAACCTTAAACCTGGAACCTAAACCGGGAACGCCCTAATCCGCCTTGGTCCTTGAGCAAGGTCACCTACATTCAATGTCACTGCAACATGGGGTACGCTGGCAAGGAAATTGTCATACCTACTTGGCTAATGGCTCCCAGCAGTACCTCCCACAGTTAAGGAAGGACTACTGTAATAAACCACAAGTCTTTCTGGTGTTGAGTTCTCTTCCCCAGGACATCTTCAACCAACACACCCAGAGAGCCTGAAGTACCACTACCCCAATTAAGTTTGGTGGAAACACTTACACCCTCACTCCAGGATGAGGTTATACAATTTGCCTTCAGGACTATCTGCATCAGAATAGCTCATTTCTGATCCTGGGGAACTGGGGTGAGGTGAAATTGTACCACTCAGAGAGTTGAACTGGAAATCAGATCACCTGATCCTAGAGGCCAGAAATACAATGAATTTGAATTTGAATGTGAGCAACCCCTTTACAGAAGTTGCAAAGCCAGGAAGACAAAGGGCTAAACTGCACCCAGGTATGGAGGAAAAGGGAAACAGCTCTGTGCTTCCAGAAGCCAATTCCTATTGACGGCTTTTGGTAGTGTTATTTCCGTTTTGTTCTTGGGAAGGGTGGTGACTTCCAATTTTAAATTTACTCTGCATACATTTCTGATGGATTTTTGTTTGTCTAGAGAGGAATTAGGGAAGAAGTAATTAAAGAGGCCGGATCTGGTGGGGGAAAGAGAGAGAAGTCAGGCAAGACAGATGTGGAGATACCCAAGCTTGCAGGGAGGGCTATTTTCAAGAGGGACTTAAAGAGATGGCTACCAAAGGATTTACTGGGGAACAGCCCGGTCACATTAGAGCGTGGGAAAGCCTGAACTAAGGAGAGCAATAAAGCACAGGATTTACAATAAGGAAGCTGACATTCTCTCTCTCTCTCTCTCTCTCTCCTCTCTCTCTCTCTCTCTTTTAATCTTATCTCTGAAAGATGCTTTAACTTTGAGGCTCTGGGCCAGTCCCCTAACTTCTTTGTGTCCTCATTTGTAGACTAGAGATGACAACCCTTGATCTTAAGGACACTAGTCAGTGCCACCCTGCCCTCAATCCCCTGTGGGAGGTCAGCTCAAACATGTCCTGTGGAGTGGGGACCAGACCATGTAACCTTGCCCTGCTGACCCGTTGACAGCCAGAGCTGGCATCTGGTCAAGTGACTGGTGACCGGAGACTTGAGGCTTCTTTCCAAATAATGAACTGCACAATCAGATTCTTCTGGAGAATTTCAAAGGAAACCCAAGATCCACTAGAAGTGTCCAGACACTGTAGAAGGGGGCCTGCACCATGCTGAGCCATTTGCAAGATGAGGGAAGGGAGGCAGGAAGGAAGAGAGAGGAAAGAACACAAAAGGGCAAGACCACAGTCGGCCCTGTCCGGGTTCCAGGTCCAGCTCACACGCAGGAGCCAGCTAAGCACAGTTTCCTGTCCTCCATTTCCCCGAGCTGTTACCCTTCTCACCACAGCTCCACTTTTATTTCTTAAACCCGCGTGAGCCAGGCCTACTGGAAGGTGGCTGGAATATGTGGATGAGCCAGGGCTCTAACTCCCCCGTGGTACCTTAGGCCCTCACTAGCACCCTCCTACCCCCGCCAACACCCCAACCTGCTGATGTTTCTCTGACTCAGGGATACTTATCTCTACATCCATTTTTTTGGCCTCGCCCCAACCCCACCAGCAGCCCCATGAGACCAGAACCTTGGGCCTCTTGCTCACGCCCTCTCTGCAGTACCTAATACCTGATAGGAAACAGGGTCCCAGATCATATATGAGGACTGGGTGACACTATCCACATAGTCACTAAAGTTACAACAAATGGCAGGTTCAACTGGGCTTTCCCCCTCCCTCCCATCCTGTGCTCAGGAACCAACTTCCTGCATGGGTTGTGCTGGCAGACTTCTCCTCCCCAGCAGGTGTTCCACTGCCCCATGGCCTCTTCCTTGGACCTCCTCATTCCACACCCTTCTCCGTGGGAGAGATCCCAGGGTACCCACACCCTCCAGTGCCGCTGGGTTTCCTGTGTTCTCAGCTCAGTCCTGTTGCCCTCTCTCCAGTCTCACCTCCTTTACTGTAGTTTCTGCCCTTTGGCTTCTGCAACAGAGTCACTGAGTTTGAGTTGGTCCCCCTTCCTGCCTCTGCCCCTGCTGTCCTTCCTACCTGGAAGGTCGCCCCCACTCACCTTGTTGTCATCTCACTAACTCTAACTCAGCTCAGCCACCTCTTTCTAGACTTATCAGACATCTTCCAGCTGGCTCAGAACCTCCCTGGGCTTCCACAATCCCTGTACGTCCCTCATATCAGAAGACCTACCTACCTGGCTTTGTTGCCATTGTTCACTTGCTATTTATTATCACAAGATGGTAATAAATAGCCTGGCACTTCCTATAACCACCAAGAAAGTGTCTAAGTAAATGCAAACCGCATTGGATAGCATGCTCTGCTCTTTGCTAGCTGTGTGCCCTTCAACAAGTCCTTTGCCTTTTTAAGCCTCAGTTTCTTCAACTGTCCTATAGAAATAATAATACCCACATTATAGGGATATTGAGCAAAGGAAAGGACGTAGCATGCGCAGCCCTTAGCACTATGGCTGGCTGGTGAGGCCGCTCCATCTGGGTCAGCTGCAATGGTAGCTAAGAAAAGTATTTCTACAGACCCCTCCTGCAGAAGGTTTCCAAACATCAGAGCTAACTCTGCAGTCCTGAGAAAGAATTAAGAGCCTTTTAGAAATCAATGAATCTACCTTAAGTGTTCTTCAAGAAAGTTGAGAACTTTGTCAAGAAACCAGACACCCAGCACAAACCATGTTTTCAAAAGTGAAACCCCCAAAGTTTAAAGGAAAACATGGATCTCTTTGCGGGGGATAGGAGTGTTAAAGGGCAGGACAGAAGAATGGCAAAAGGGAAAGGAAGAGGCGTGTTGCTTGGTGGAGGAGGTGCAGGTGGAAAGTCAGAACCATCACGGACAGGTGCTTCAGGACAGGTGCTAGGCTGCCCTGGAAAACGGGTTCTCCCGGACTCGTTGAAGTGGCCCTAGACATTCTAGCCCTTCTCAGGAGAACCTGGGGCACAGACGCCCTAAGGAACTCTGGAACAGGAAGGAGGCAGCAAGTAAATGTTTTCAGGCACCCTATGTGTGCAATGAGAGATGGCTGCCCAGAGAGGTTGCAGGAGGGTGGAGAAGCCCCCCAAATAACCCCAATCAGGCGTTGATTGGGGGCCCCTAGAGTCAGGGGGCCCCCAAGTAAGGTCTGAGTGGCCTCCACCTCGACCCCCACCTCTCCTCTCGAGGTAGGGCCAAGGGCAAAAGCGCTCTGCCTCGAGGGTCAAGCAGGAGGCGCTCTAGGCACGTCTCCATCTCCGGGCTAGGACCTCAGTCTCCTCCTCCTGGCATTGGGTTTGCAGGCCCCGCAGTTGAGAAAACAGATCTTGGAGACCTACTGGAGCTTGCTCCTCCTGCAACCTCCCCCAGGGTGTGGGAACGTCTCAGCCTCGTTCCTCCCGCCGCCTCCCGATCCGGACTTGAAGGAAGTACTAGGCGGCCAGGGCAGGGAGCCGAGGCCGGGTGCGCACTGACTTGAGCGCTGACTGTCCGCGCGGGCGGGCTGCGGAGTTCCCCAGCGGGGGCGGCGGCACCGTCGCGCCCGGGTGGAGACCGGGTCCAAGGGCCCGGGGCGCGGCGGCAGCTCCAGGAGGTCCGGCCGTGAGCGTGACCTCACTGGGAGGGGCCAGCGCGGCGGCCTGGGCGCCGAGCCGAGCGCAGAGAGCGCAGCGCCGGAGCGGAGCTGGGAGAGCGCAAGCGGTGGACCCGATGGAACGGTACAAAGGTGAGGCGCGGGGTCCCGCGCAGCGCGCACCCACTCCCTTCCGCCTAGTCCTGTGCGGGGAAGAAGGGCTAGGGCTTATCCCGCCGGGATCCAGGTGAGCAAAGTCGACTGCCCCCGCCCAGGCGACCTGAGCCGAAGAGGGGGCGACAGAGGTGGGCTCCTGTGGCGGCCTCGGCCTGGGCCCTTTGACCGTCGCGGGAGCTGAAGGCGGCAGTCGGCATTGGGGTGGTGGCTACGCTTCCCACCTGTAGAAGGAGAGGGTGCGCTCCGCGTCCCCTCTCCAGCCATAGTTGGCCGCCGGGGGAAAAAAAAAGATGCCTAGAGTCAAGGGGCCCCAAGTAAGGTCGCAATCGTGCCGCGGTGCCGGGGCAAAGGGGTGAGTCGTTTGTTGGGTTTTCTCGCACGGGCGCCGGGTGGGGGGTTTCCTGCAGATCCTGGGAAAGAGCCAACTAGGGAAGAGGGTGCGGGAAGCGCCTGGGGTGGTGGGGTGGGCGCGCTGTTAAGTCCTGGCTAGATCGGGCCTCTCCTTTCGTCACGCAACTTGGGTAATGGTTTCTCTCTGAGCCCTTCTCAGATCCCACCACCCTAAGCTGAGTGGGGTGTGGAGGTTGGGGCCCCGAAAGAGGTGCCCAGCAGGTGGAGCGCCTGGAGGTTTCCCGGCCCAGGGGCTTCGCCGAGTTGCACAGCTGAGCGAGCTTTGGGTTTGGCCCTGGCCGGGAGGATCTTGGCCAAATCCTGTTGGGCAGGCCGCCCCCGTTGTGCCAGGTGCCCAGCTAGCTCACGTTTTCGGAGCCTGGGGGCTTGGACTCCAGAAGCCTTGGTTTGCGGGGCTTTTGAAAAAGGAGCTCGGAGAGCTGCCCCTTAAGCAGGACGCTGGCCCCGCCGCCCCTTCCCTTTGGAAAAGCCTTTTGCTCTCGTGCTGGGTTGGTCTTGGCCAAACCTGCCAGAGGAAATACTGCTTCTATATTTGTTTTCCCCTGGGATTGAGTAATAAAGGAGAATGGTCGGCTTCCCAAGGAATCTCACCCTCGATGGTTTCTTATTTCTGAAACTGACATAAAGGGACGTTTGGGACGGGCTTTAGTTCCCTAAACCACTATTGTCTTTTGACTTTCTTTTGCCTTTTCTCATCTGAGTCATTTGGTTACTGGTGAAGGCGAAAGAACCAAATCCTAGACAGCACTTCACCTGAACCAGTAGGGTCTTTGGCAGCCCGGAAGCTAGTGGGGGAAAGGGGTAACTGGGTTAAATTTGTTGACAGTGAATTTTTTTGTGACCGCCTCCCTGATGCCTCTCTCATGTTTCTAATCGGGGAGGGAGGGCATTAATCTCAAATTCTGCTGGGATCACAGTCTGTTTTGTTGTGGAATAAGTCTTTGTGCAGTCTCAAACACTGGAGGAGGTCACAGCCCCTCTCTGTATTCCTTCCACCCTTTGGGGGAATTCAGGATTTGGGTCACCTCCTGACTTGAAGGTGGCTCTAGAGTCCTTTCAGTTTTCTGAATTGTGAAGTCGAGAGGGTATCTGCCCCAGGATCTAGGGTCTGTGTTCTGAGCTACTTTCTCAAGTCAACAGATTAATTCAAGGACCAAGGTAACAGGTGCATTCTTGCCAAATGCCCAACTTCTCACCACTGATCGTCAGCAGGGTTCTGTGTTAATAGTTTCTGACTTGGCTCTTGACCTGATAAAGTCCTCTTAGTTTATCTTTCTCTGGAGGGAGTTGAAAATCCTCCCACCCTAGAAGAGGATCAGTTGGGGGCTTCTTGCCAACTAAAGAAGTGTAGTTTCCAGTTCAGAGTGTTTGTTTTCTGGTAACACATGTTATCTGCCTTACCGTTTTGCAGTAAATCAGACACAGTGATGAATGGACAATCTTGAGAATTCTCAAGTTTGCAGAGGGTAATCTAACTCATCAATTGAGCTCATCTTCCAATGTTGGACTCATGAGAAAAAAATCTTTCAGTTCTCAGTGTCATTATGCTATTAAGATTTTTGTTTTACCTTTCACCACGGAATTTTGTTCCCCCTCTCCCCCAGTAGAATTCTTGTTCTCTTGAGAGGCAGATGAGTTGTGCTTTGAACACTCACTGAATGGAAACATTGGTCTATGCAAAATGAATAATGCTGGGCTCCAGATCTGATTGGCAAGTGCCCCTTGGATAGAATCAATATTCTCTTGCTGGTCAGAGATTGAGGGCTTTAAAAAAATGTCAAATTGAACATTTGTGGAATAACTATAGCAGCTTAAACAAAAAAATGGAAAAAACAAGGCTTGTTTGGATTCTCAGAACCTATGTAAAAATTATAAAGAAAAATTCTTATGTGTAATGCTACTAAATTTTTTCTTCATTGTTAATTTTTTTCCCTTAAATACCTCCCCTCTTTCTACGTTCTCAGGGTTGAGCTCTCTCTCCCTCTCCCACATAGGTAGACTATCTCATCACTGTCTTCACATTCTCAAAATATTTTCTCTAATTTGTAAAGCTACTGTTTATAGGAGAAATTGCTTTTCCACCTTCCCCAGCCTGCATGTTACCCATTATACACACCCCCAAAATAGCATATCATTTTTAGGCTCTGGGCTGATTTTCCATTGTCATGTAGGACATAAAGAGAGGTCTAGAACTAAAGGATGGTGGAACCACTCTATGCCTAATACAAAAACAAACAAAACAAAACCAACAACAACAACAAACAAAAAACCTTCCAGACATCTCTTCTAGTCTTTTCCAAGCCCATCTGCTAGATAGCTATGACTTTAAGCAAAAATGGGTCCCACATGAATCTGTATAAGCAGTAAGACCCACATAAGTGTCCAGCCTGTGGTGCCAAGTCCTACAGTGTGCCTTGAAAAGGTGCCCATCTATGGGTGTTTCCATATTTATGACTCTCCTAAGAGCATCCTGTATCACTGTGCACGAGCCCATTGGCTGAACTCACCCCATGTAGTCAAGGATACTGGTCCCTATTGCTTTCCCAGCTGGTGAGCAGATCCAGGGCCAAATGCGACTGACCTACTATCTGTGGATTGCACTTGGAACATCACGCCGAAGCTTCCTGAAATTGCATCATATTTGGATCCAAAGGGGCCTGGTTGAGAGATTCAGACTCTGGATCAGAGAAATTGGTTGAAATTGAAATCCTTTTCCTGCGTTCTTTGGTTTCTGGGTCTAATCCCCTGCTTCCCCACTTAGCTCTAGGGCACTGGATATGGAAAGGAATGGCAAAGAGTCAAGCCAGGCAAATACTTGAAAACTTGTCTAGGAATTCTGAGATCTGTGATCAGAGAAGGTTGAAAAGGAAAAATGGATGAAGAGCAATGAGCAGATTGATAACATTTAATCCGCCATTCGGAATTATTTTCCACACCTAGAAGCTCTAGTTTTTTCCTATTGACATTCCACCTATGACAGTGGAATAATCTAGGGGCTTTAAAAATTATAAATGTCAGGGAGCAATATGAAAGTGCAGGCTCATCAGGGCATAGTGGCAACTCCTGTAATCCCAGCAGCTGGGGAAGCTGAGATAGGAGGATCTCAAGTTCAAAGCCAGCATTAGCAAAAGAGGAGGCACTAAGCAACTCATCGAGACCCTGTCTCTTAAAAAAAGAAAAAACAAACAAACAAACAAAAAAAGAACAGGCTCCACCTGACATTCTGGTTTAGTTGTCCAGGACGGTGGCTTGGGCATTGTAGTTTTAAAAGGTCTTCAGGTGATTATAATATGCAGTCAAAATTGAGAGTCATGCTTCCTTTTAAAAAGTGAAATGTCAAAATAGAAAAAAGTGCCATGGTCCTTTGGAATCGGGCAATGATTCCAGGGACCCCCCCCCCCCCAGGGATATCAAAATCCAAGGATGACTGAGTCCCTTACATGAAATGGTCTAGTAGTTGCAGATAACCTGTACATGTTGTCTCATATACTTTAAAGCATCTGTGGATTGTTTATCATATTAGATACAATATAAATAGTTGTTATACTGTATTGTTTAGGAAATAAGGACAAGAAAAAAGTCTGAATATGTTTAATACAGATGCAACCATGGTGTACCTAACTACATAAGCTACACAGTACATGTTAGCAACAACATACCTTTTTTTCTCAAAAATTTTTGATCTGTGGTTGGTTGAATCTGAGGATGCAGAACCCTGGACTATGAGGGTTGACTGTAATTATATAAACACCTTCCTCACCCAAAAGAAAGAAACGCAGGTGCGGATGAAGGGGATATCTTCTCCTAATCACAGGTTCCTTGACTGAATCTTGTGACACCTACAGAAATCTAGTGTAAGTCACCTTCAGCTATCATAGGCTTGAAGACGCTATGAGAATGCTGTTTAAAACAGTCTCCAATGTGGAATCCTAAGCTCACAGTTTGCTCATGGTACTTGACCCTAAACTCTCCTGACTTTGAAGCTCTTTGTGTGGGAGCCCTTGATGCTGTGGCACTGAAATGGTCTGAGACAGAAAGACTGAGAGGTCACAGTGGGTGCTGAAAGGCCCCTGCCGTGGGGTGGGGGAATTCTGCTTTGGGCCCTTCCCCTCTCCTGAAAGGGTGGGAGCTCTGGGAACTGGGCTGGATCCAGCACAATTAAAGGGCCAGGAGGGGCCACGGCTCTTCAAAGCTGAGGGAGCGGTGCCAGTTCTCTTCCAAATCCTTTTAATGACAGGAAATGTTTCTCTCAAGACTTCTGTCTTTCAGGGGAGGAAGACTTCCCCAAGTCTAGGGGGACGATGATGGCATGTTCTAACCAGACCTTTAGCAGAGATAGGAGGGAGCACAGTCACTGACCAAGGGGGTGGGCAGCAGCTCAGGAACCCCAAGACCCATGTGCTCTCCAGGCCTCAGTTTCTCCATCCTGAAAACAGCCTCCAGTGTCCCCCCATGTGACTTTGCAACCACTCTTCCATGCTAGTTGCTCTGTGGTCACTGAGGAATCTTTGGAGGGAGGACATTTCTTGGGGAGGGGAGCCAAGTGAGGAGGGACTGGAGCTGGGTCACCCAGCAAGGGTCAGCTTAGGATTGTGATTCTTATAAATAAGACCAACTTCCTGTGGAGAGCTGGAGAGTCGTAGACTCAGTGGGAAAGGGAATGCCCTAGACTATGTGAGGAATTCGTTTCTTAAGGACTCATGTGTGACTCTGTCTCCAAAGATTGTTAAGTCCGGAGCCTTTGTCTGAAATAGATTTATTTACTCCCATTAGAGAGACAGGTCAACTGAGCCGAAGAGATTAAGCAACAGTTCAGAGCGTCAGAATCAAGCTATACTACCCCTGAGAACTGAATTTCTAAAGGGAGAATTGCTATTCAAGAATTTATTTAGAAAGAAGTGTTCAAAACACTGTCCTATCATTCATTATCAGTGTCTCTTC